GGATGTTCTATATATCCATATCACTTGTGAAAAGAGGAGTTTTACATCTTCCTTCCCAGTTTGGATACCATTTATTTCACTTTTTTTTCTTCTAATGTCTAAAACTTCTAGTAGAATGTTGATAGAATAGCAAAAGTGTACATTCTTGCCTTATTCCTGCTTTTAGGAGATAAGTTTTTAGTCTTTCACTATTGTGTATGATGTTAGCAGTAGGTTTTTCCTAAATGCCCTTTATCATATTGAGGAAGTTCCCTTTTATTACTAGTTTGTTGAAGGTCATTTTTTAAATTTTTAAAATCACAAGCAGGTGCTGGATTTTGTGAAATGCTTTTTTGCATTGAGATGATCATGTTTCCTTTTTCCTTCTTTTAATGTGCTATTTTACATTGATTGATTTTCTTATGTTGAACTACCTTTGCATTCCTGGGATAAGTCCTGCTTGGTCATGATGTGTAAATAACTCTTTTATCCCTTTGCACCTTCTTGCTTTTTTCTCATCATCCACTCGACATTATCCACACTCGACATCCGAGTGCAAAGGGTTAATGTGCTGTTGAATTCTGTTTGCTAGTATTTTATTGAGGATTTTTACATCAAATATTGATAAGGAATATTGGTCTGTAGGTTTGTGTATGTGTGTGTGTGTGTAATGTGGTGCCTTTGGCCTTCATATCAAAGTAATGCTAATCTTATAGAATGTGTTAGGAACTGTTTCTGACTTTTCTATTTTTGGTAGTTTGAGAAGGATTGCTGTTCATGTTTTAGAAAATGTTCGGTAGAATTCACCAAGTAAAACCATCTGGTCCAGGGCTTTACTCTGTTAGGAGACTTTTGGTTACTGATTCAAAAATCTTTGTTACAGGGCTGTGTAGTTTTCTATTAATTGATGAATCATTTTGATAGCTTATATATTTTAAGGATTTTGTCCATTTCACATGGTAGTTATTTGATTTGTTGATGTACAGTTCATATAGTATTCTCCTATAATCGTTTTTCTCTCTATAGCATTGGTAATATAATCTCACTTCAGTTTTTATTTTGGTAATTTCAGTCTTCTTAGTAGATAAAGGTTTGTAAGTTTTGTTGATCCTTTAAAAGAACCAAGTTTGGTTTTATTGGTTGTATTGTTTTTCTAGACTTTATATTGTTTATCTCTGCTTTGATATTTATTATCTCCTTTCTTTGACTGTGAGTTTACTATGCTCTTCTTTTCCTAATTCTAGTATTACTATAATTTTAGTTTATAAATTCACTTTTTATTTTCTATAGGATTTAAAGCACAAATACATAAAAAATAATTATAAATCTATGTTTAGGCAAATGATATATGAGCATGTAATTTGTAACATCAGTAACGTAAAGGGGGAATGGAGTTGTAGAGGAACAGAGTTTTTATATGTAATTAAAGTTAAGTTGGTGTCAATTCAAATTAGATTGTTATCTGTTTTGGATTTTATGTGTAATCCCCATGGTAATCATCAAGAAAATATCTGTAGAATATACACAAAAGGAAATGAGAAGAGTGCCAAAAAGTGTCATTATAAAATTAGCAATTAAAGACAAAAGAAAGCAGTAATGGATGAAATGAAGGACTGAAAAAAACAATGTGAGACATACAGAAAATAAGAGCCAAATAACAGAAGTAAGTCATTCCTTAGTAATTTCTTTAAGTGTAAGTAGATTAAACTCTCCAATCAAAAGGTAGATATTGGCAGAATGGATTTAAAAAATGATCCCACAATATGCTGTTTATAGCAGACTCACTTTAGAACTAAAGATGCAAGTAGGTTGAAGGAAAAAGATATTCCATGGAAACAGTAACCGAAAGAGAGCTAGGGTAACTGTATTAAATATACACAATAAACTTAAGGTAAACACTATCACAAGATGTGTACCATCTGGGAAATGGACACGCTTGAAGCCCTGACTCCCGGGGGGAAGGAGGGGAAAGGCAACACATGTAACCTAAACATTTGTGCCCCCATAATATGCTGAAATAATAAAAAAAACCATCACAAATAAAGAACATTATATATTGATTTTTTTAAAAAAAATCAATTCATTAGGAAGATATAACATTTCTAAACGTATATGCACCAAACAGCAGAGCCCCAAAATATTTAAAGAATTGAAGGAAGAAATAATAGACTTCATTTTCAGTAATGCATAAGACAACCAACAGAAGATCCATAAGGAAATAGAGGATTTGAACACTATAAACAAATTAGACCTAACAGATATATACAAAACACATCACCAAATAATGACAGGATGGTGTTGGGAAAACTGGATATTGATATACAGAAGAGTGAAGTTGGATTCTTACCTTATACTACACACAGAAATTAAAAAAATCATTACATACCTAAATTCAAGAGGTAAAACTATAAATCTCTTACAAGAAAAGGTAGGAAAAAGCTTCATGACATTGGATTTGGCTGTAATTTCTTGGATGTGACAGCAAAAAAGGCAACAAAAAGAATAAATTAGGTTTCATTAAAATTAAACATTTTTGTGCATTAAGGGACATTATGAGGAGAGTTAAAGATAAACAATAGAATGAGAGAGGATATTTGCAAATTTATGTCTGATAATAATATCCAGAATATATAAATAACTTTTGCAACTCAACAACAACAATAAAAGACAACTCAAAAATGAACAAAGGACTTGAATAGACTTTTCTCCAAAGCACATGGTACAAACAGCCAATAAGCACATGAAAACATAGTCATTAGGGAAATACAAATCAAGACCACGATGAGTTAACACTTATTATCCATTAGGATGACTATTATAAAAATAAATGACAAGTGTTGGGGAAGGTGTGGAAAAATTGGAACCCTGTGCATTGCTTGTGAGAATGCAAAATGGTGCAATCCCTGTCGCAAACAGTTTGACAGTTCCTCAACTTATTAAACATAGAATTACCATGTGATCCAGCAATTCCACTGCTAGATGTATATCCAAAAGAATTGAAAGGAGGAAATCAAACAGATGCTTGTACACTGATGTTCATAACAGTATTATTCACATTAGCCAAAATGTGGAAACAACACAAATGTCCACTGACAGATGAATAGATAAACAAAATGTGATACATACGTACACTGGACTATTACTCAGCCTTAAGGAATGAAATTCTGATATATGCTACAACATAGATAAACCTTGAAGACAAGCTAAGTGAAATAAACAAGATACAAAAGAACAAATATTATATGATTCTACTTATATGAAGTACCTAAAATAGACAAATTCATATAGACAGAAAGAGTAATAGAAGTTACTAGGGGCTGGGGGTAGGGGAGAATGAGGAATTATTGTTTAGTGAGTAGAGAGTTTTTATTTGGTGAAGTTCTGAATATAGACAGTAATAATGGTTACACAACATTATGAATGTACTTGATGCTACTGAATTACGCACTTAAAAATGGGTGAAATGCTAAATTTTATGTTAAATATATTTTACCACAATACAGATAGACAGGAGTTGTGTGTCCAATAGAATTTGATCAATGTCTGGGGGGAAATTAGTGGGATTGATCTTGGGATAGTAAAAGCCTCCAGATAATTAGAGGGAAAGTGGGGTCTATATAATTCAACAAGTGGCTGTAATCCTTGGTGTTAATGGTCTATTTTGTTTTGTTTTAATTATGTTCAGAATTATTATTTCCAGAATAACAGGTTAAACACTGGTCTTTTACTTTATAACTTTTAGATTTTATAGACAAGAATTTGGATGCAATGAAGGGTTTTCCTTATCTAACCTGAAGGTAAGCAATAGGGATCCTGACTACAGTAATAGAACTCCAGAGTGATGAATTCTTCCTTTGGAGTATAGTACCCTTGGGGACTGTTCTACAACCATTATCTCAACATTGCTTATTTATAGCCAGCCCAAAGACCAGTTGGCTCCCAAGATAACCAGCAATGTTTAGAAGATTTTTTTTTCCTAAAACAGTTCATTTTCTGCAAAGATGCAGTATACCAAAATGGTTAAAAACTCAAGCTTTGGAATCAAACAGCCTGACTTAGAGTCTTGGGTTTGCAAAGAGCTAACCATGTGACCTTTTTGTAAAGTTGCTTAATCTCTCCATGCCTCACCTTTTAAATTCATCTGTTAAAAGTGAGTAATACTTCGTGTTTGTTAAAAAGATTAAATGAGATAATGTATGTACAGTGCATAGCATATTACTTGGTACATATTAAGCCCTCAATAAATATTAGCTGTTGCAGCTGCTATTGCTCGTACTCACAAACATGCTCAGGGTACAGAGTAGTCAAGAGTCCAAAAGAAGGTATTTCTTGTTTAACTTCCAAGGCTCTTCTGCTAGGACATTTTTCTTTCCCAATCCTATAGTGGTGCCATTCTTATGCCACTTTTACTTTTTTGCATTTAGATTGCTTATCTAAATTTGATATCAAGTAACCCACTTCAATCTTGCTACATTGAAAACATTTCTTGGGACCTTATAACCAGAGTTTACTAAGCAGTACTTTTTATTCACTCACTTTTTTAAAATGTTATGTCGAGTCCCAGTGTTTTTTCTTTCTCCCTTTCTCCTTAACCCCTTTTGGACCTTAGATGCTGAAAGCTAAATTAATTATGCCCTTTAGCTCCAAAGCACACTGCTATCATTAGTACCTTCCTCTCTAGTTCTATTTTGCTCCTCATACCTAAATCCTAATCAGTATCCTTTCCCCACAAATACCCACTCTAATGTGTCTTTACATGTTCTTAAATATGCAAGCATTTTTGTATATAGGTAATATTGTTTTGTGTATATATGCTTTTATTTATAGGAAGTGTTGTGCTATGAATATCAACATTACATTTTAAACCCTATCTTTATAACTTTATATATGATTATTAAATGCTTATAACTTTTAACTATATTTTAATCTATTCCCTGAAGGATGGACACCTAAATTATCATCGATTCCATACTACCACAAAATATGCTACAGTGAACATATTCTTGCATTACCCTTTGTAGATGGGATGATCACATTTGTCCAAATGGGATGCTTTTGAAATTGAAGAGGGACTCTTATAACTACACTGGGGCAACAGGTATATACCAAAACTATCAGACAAACCAGCATATATGTGGTTATTCTACTTATGAAAGATTTTTCTGGGATGCAGCTGATAATTAGCAGATATGTACTGAATAGCTTTTCCCCTTCTCGTTTCCAGATGGCATCTATTCCAATTGGTTGGTGCATGTTGGCTGACTGTTGCAGATTTTAAATGTCACCCTTGCTAGAAATTATTCATGAGGGAGATTTCTAGGTCATAGATTATGGATATACTTAATTTCGATAAGTTTGAGTTCTTATCAGTCTTTTCCTCTTTGTAGGTGAATGGACTTTTTAAATCTGTCTTCCCATCTCTCATGAGGGTTTACATTTGTACTATGTATTTACATCCTTTCTCCGTCTGATTTCCTAGTTTGGATCTATAGCAGTCACTAGTTTCTTGACAAGTATGCCTAGTACCTTATGCAAATATAGCAATGTAGATTATAAAGAATTTTTAAATTTTATGTTATTGGCCCCTAAAAATTACCCTTTGAAGTAGAAAGGGCAGAATTTGTAATCCTTATTTTACAGAAAAGGAAGCTGAGGATCAGAGGTAAACTGACTTGCTTCCATCCACATATCTGGTAAGTTATGGAGTTGAACTTGGAACCAGGTCTTCTTTTGATTTGCTTCTGTAATATCTAAAAGGGACAGGGGAAAAAAGGGTAAACTCCAGTTTGTGGTTAAAGTAGGCACTGTCCAGTTTAGCTTTATGTCTTCTTCAGAACATAGCATCATGTCTGACACATAGTAAATGATCAGTAATTTTTAGTGACCAAATGAACTATGGATTATGTAGGTATCCGTAGAGCCAGCTTTGAATTGGTATTGCCACTAATCAGTGCTGGGGTAACTCCCCTTCCCTGCAGCAATGCTTTAAATTATAGATGAGCTCAGTTCTGTAAATATTCTGGCTGAACAAAGGGCTTTGGGTCAATCCAGGAGTTCTCATGTTAAGTGTTTTGGTTCATTTACAACAGAGGTAGCAATGGGTAGCCATGGCTTATAAATATACCTATGTAATGTAATTTTACGTGGGTAAGTAGTAGACTGTGCTTGGTAAATCTCAGTAAGATTTCTTCCACTCTGCTTTTTTTAGATACTGTTCTGTAGCCTTAAATAACCAGTAGCAAAGCCCCTCCTCTTGCTAACTTCTCTATTGTATTTAGCTGCTTAACACTTGCTTCCCATTCCCAGGATCCCCAGAGGGGATAGTGTTTGGTGAGAACCCAGTGATAGGATGGATTTCATTGGAAGATTTTTCTCCCCTTGATCTTATCCAAAAGATCAAGAAGTGATGAAAGATTTTCTCTAAATAGTTTTTTTCAGCATTGGAAGAGGTTGGTTGGCCTCAGCCCCCTTGCTCAAACCTTACAGTTTTCAAGTCATTTCAAAGCCTTGCATAATCTTGTTCTACCTGCCTTTCTATCTCATCTGAAATTACAGTCCCCTCTTCAAAACTTCCCATCTTTTAGGAGACAAATTAAGGGTGCTCTAAGAAAACTGTTTAGTAATTTAAAGCTCCTATTTTTCATACCCTACCCTTCAAGGAAGTTAAAATTGTCATCTTTCAGAAGTAGCACTTTCTATCATGCATCTTATATCCTTTTTATTCTCTAGCTGCAGGAGACTCCATGCACAGTGTGTGGCATTTAAATTAGATGCTTCCTGCTGCTGCTTTCTTTGGTAATGTTTTTCTTTAAATCACAGTTGATTTACTATTGCTTATGTTAATACTATGAGCTTCACGTGTAAGCTTTCCTCCCACCAATGGGAAGAACTTTTTAGAAAGCCCACATATGTCTCTTTAAATATCTGTGATTATGGCTTATTCATTCCACTTGCACCACCAAATTTTTGTTTTTTAATTGTTTCCAGACTATCTCCTTTCTCTTTGCACTGTGGCCCTGAATTCTACCATTAGCTGACATTGAGAAAGCCCTAGGAAAGTTCAAATTGCTTTTTCTTTTCTTTTTTTAATGCATAGGTAACCATAACAATGGTTTCTGTAAAGTGAAATCCTTTCCACAGATTAGTCGTTGGTCCATGGAAATAGCACTTTGGTAGTCAGCTTGCTTTCTTGTTTTCTTTCTTTTAATATTTTATTGTGGTAAGAACATTTAATTTAGATATACCCTCTTAACAGATTTTTAAGTGTACAATACCAATTTAGGCACTATAGGCACAATGTTGTATAGCACATCTCTAGAACGTATTTATCTTGAACAATGGAAATTTTATGCCCATCTAAAATATTCAAACTCATAGAAACAAAGAGAATTGTGCTTGTCAGGGCTTTGGGAGAGAGGAAATGGGGAGTTGCTAATCAACAGGTAGTTAGTTTTTTCTACATGAATAAAACTTGTCTATCATTGTGCCTAGGTATAGATTGAATGCCCTTAATCCAAAAATATTAAATCCAAAATGCTTTAAACTCCAACTTTTTGAGCACCAAAATAACGCTCAAAGGAAATACTCATTGGATCATTTCAGATTTTGGATTTTTGGATTAGGGATGTTCAACCGATAAGTATTAATATAATTCAAATATTCCAAAATCTGAAAAAATTCAAAATCCAAAACACATCTGGTCCTAAAAGCATTTTGGATAAGGGGTGTTCAGCCTTTATGTGGTTGTTTGTACTTAAGGTAGAAAAGGAATGAAGAGTGAATTTGGTGATTTAGTCATACCATGAAGCAGCAGAACCTTTCTAGTTCTGAGATTTTCTGCCAACACCTATACCACTGCCCTCTACCCCAAAATACAAAAAATAAATGAAACTCCCAAGACCACATCTTCAAAAACACTGCCATCCATAAACTCTTTAGGAGCTTGGGAGAAGAAAAATATGGAAGAGAAAGTATGGTTAGGAATCTCTTTTCCACTAAATTAGGAGTTCCTTTGATAATTGGTTAAAAAGCGTAGCTTCTTTTCAAGAACACAGCTAACACTGTTACATATCTAACATCAGGAATGTCAGGAATTGATGGCATCCTCTGAATGCCATCAACAGAATCATAATCAAATGTGAGTAGAACTTACATCTTACAGGAATCATTATTCTTTACCTAAGTTCTGTATATATCTTTTTTTTAATATATTTAGCAAACCATGTTGATCACTGTGTTTGTATTTTTAGTCCTGCCTGATCTAAATGGGCAACTCTGAGTACTCTTGACCTCTGTTGGTGATATTACTGACCTTACTCATGGCTATTCACCAGCTACATCACATTCTGACTTGCCAGCCTCTTCTCCCCAGTAGGCCTTTCCTCTCCTCTAATCCTTCTCTAATCCCTTTCTTTCTTCTTCACCCCCATCTCTTTTGCTCCTCCATGATTTTCTCAGGGCTGGGCTTCAACATCGTCGGTGGGACAGATCAACAGTATGTCTCCAATGACAGTGGCATCTACGTCAGTCGCATCAAAGAGAATGGGGCTGCGGCCCTGGATGGGCGGCTCCAGGAGGGTGATAAGATCCTCTCGGTGAGAACTGGCTTCGGCCTTCTTCACTGTCCTTTGCTCCCCAGACCCTAGGTCTTACTCCCAACCCCTTCCTTGGGAAGATTCCTGCCGACTTTTTGGACTTGGAAATATCCAGATTGTAGAGTTGAGTGGAAGGAACCTTGATCAGTCATCCTTTCCAACCCTGTTATTTGGCATGGATGATAATATTTTCCTCATTTGAGAGTCAAGGCAAGTTAAGCAAAGAGTGTGAAGTTACTTGCCCAGGTTAAAAAAAAACAAAGCAGGAAACAGTGAGGGACTAGTATGGGGAAAGATATTTAAAATGCACAGTTTTTGTCTTTCTTCCATTATGTATCACCTATTTTTGTTGATTAAAACACTAATGTGTTTCTTCCTTTGGGGGAAAGTCAGCCCTTATAATTGGATTTAACTTAACTTCAAAAGACACAAGGAAGTTTGGAATTAAGTGTCCTTTTCAGACTCAGAGCTTTTTTCACTTAGGTGAAAAATTAGAATGCAACTTGATTTGATTTTCTGTCCACTGTGCTCCCATTTCATCCTGCTAATGTCTTTACTAAGACATTTACTACATCGTAATCATTAATTTTATTCTTTTCTGGGATTTCTCAAAGGCAGAGATGAAATCTTTTCTTTAATTTTTTTATACTCTAGCATGAGACTTAAAGGGAAATTTGAACTAGGATAAGGGTTCTCATGGCAAAAGTTCCTACCTTCTTTTCCAAATGGGCTGTGGATCCATGGTTTAAAGAGGAGAAAACTATTCCCTCCTTTCTCTTATGAATTGAATAGGGTAGGAAAGCTAGGTTGAGAAAGGGTTGACATAAGTGAATGTAGTACAGACTAAAAGAAGTCTTGATTGTCAGAATTGAGTATTAATCTGAGAGACCTGATTTTGAACCTCCCTCCAAAAGGCAGATTCATCCCTTTTTTATTTTTATTTTTCAGAGGGAGGATCTTGCTCTGTTGCCTGGACTAGAGTACAGTGGTGTCATTATAGCTCACTGCAACCTCAAACTCCTGGGCTCAGGCAATCCTCCTGCCTCAGCCTCCAGAGTGCTGGAACTATAGGCTCTGTGCCACCATGCCCAGCTAATTTTTCCATTTTTTTTGTAGGGATGGGATCTTGCAATGCTGCTAGGCTGGTCTCGAACTCCTGGCCTCAAGCAATCCTCCTGTCTTGGTCAGGTGGTATCCACAGTGCTAGTATTACAGGCATGAGTCACCATGTCCAGCCCAGTTAATTCCTTTAGAAATTTTGTTACTATAGTTTTGTTTGAATTTTCCCCTTTCAGTTACTTCTTATGCAATTTAATTGATCAATGATTAAAGGCCATACGTGGGAAGTCTCATGGTCTTCTTATTTGCCACTTTGTTGGATACTTCTTTCCCATCCAGCCCATTTTGTAGCCATAAATGAAGGCAGAGATACAAAGAAAAGGAAGGAAAGAACTTCCACTTTTCTTTATTTGGTGTCTGAGTATTTGAGAGATCAAACTTAGCAGGATGGTTCTGAATACCTCTTCAAGAGGACTGTATGACTCAACTTAGTCCCCAGAAAAGAAAGAAAATCAGAACAAGTACCGTGTTTCCCCCAAAATAAGACAGGATCTTATATTTATTTTTCCTCAAGAAGACACCCTAGGGCTTTTTTTCAGGGGATGTGTTATTTTTTTTAAGTATGGTACAGCAGTCTACATTTATTCAAATATAGTTAAGTCGTCTCCTTTTGGAACATCATCATAACTCTCCAAACCCCGAATTCTATCCTGAATTTCTTGTGACTCTATTTACTTTAGAACCATTGGCCCCAATCACTCATGTCGAGCAATAGAGCTCTCATGGGGCAGATGAGAAGGGCTGCTCATCTTCTTTACCACTCTGCGATGAAATGCATGGGTTGTGCAGATACGCTGCGTAGCCACGCCCATCACTAGGTCTTATTTTCAGGCTAGGGCTTATGTTGCACAAATGCTTAGAAATCCTGCTAGGGCTTATTTTATGGGTAGGTCTTATTTTCGAGGAAACACGGTAGTTAATAGAGCTACTTAAATTAATTCAAGGATGTTTCTTAAGAATGTATCCTAGCTTATATAATATAAATATAATATTTATATATTATATATATATAGTATTGTGGATGGCAGTATTTGAATCCTTCTTACGGACTGTTGCCTCTCTTCAGTCAATTAAGGTTCTTGTAGACCCTATTTATTAATCTGTGAGATGGAGACAATGATAATCTACCTTTCATCCCAGAAGTATAGTGAAAAATTTAGAAGTATTTCCTGTAGCTCCCAGGTGAAAGACAGTCTTAAAATATGAATCAACTTGGCAATGGTACAGTAAGGGAAAATTGAGAATGGGTTATTAAAATAAAGGTGTAGCATATACCTAGAATCTGTGCACTTTAATATTTGACACATAAATCACATTCTCTTCACCTATGCTCCATGGGTGAAGAAGGACTTAAACAATATAGGGGTTAAGAAGAGCACCATATTATTTGAAAAGCTTTGGTTAAAAATAGATTATTGCAAAATGAGGATGGTGAAAAGTTTTTTGAGCACTAAATGCCAAGTAGCATGCTAAGAACTTTAAATGTCTGATGTTTAATATCATAGTAACCCTCTGAAGTGAGTATGATTATTATGCCCATTTTGCAGCTAAGGAAACTGAGGCTTGGTGAAGTCAAGCAGCTTGTCCAAGATCACACAACTAGTAAGCAGTAGGGGACAAAACTTTGGTCTGTCTGAATTTGGAGCCTCTGCTCTTAACCAGTATATTATGCTACCTCCTGAAAGGTAAATGAGAAGCTAGAATTAGTTATCCTAAAGAGAAAACTGCCTAGTGTATTAATCATAGATTGTATGTATGGTTATATATAAAAACTGCAATTAGTCTTTCCATAAGAGCAGAAAAAGGATGTAAACCTCAGTATGCTTCCATACTGAGGAATTTATTAGATATAAGCTGAGATGAGGAATCTTTCTTATGTGGGCCATTGCCTCACAGAGGAAAAAAAATTATTAGAAGGCCTCAAGTTTTAAAAAGGCCAGGCAGTAGTGATGGATGGTGAGAAATAAACATCAATGAATAGAAAAGTGGCTGTCTAAATTCATTGAAAAGAGTTTACTTCATGAAAACATAAGAAATATAAGAAATACTACAAAGGCATATAAATTTTACAAAGATATATAAGATATAAAGAATTGTATGTTTATGTTCTAGCTCATTCAGGAAAAGGCATACAAAAGAAGAGGGGAAAATGTCAGGGGAAGGAAAGGCAGAAATAGAAGACTTAAGGAGGGAAATTAAGAAGACAAAGAAAAAGATGGAGCATGTACAAGAGTAAAGGCAGCAGCATATCCTTTCCACTCTGTCTAGGCCTACATTTCTTTGACTCCAATTTCCCTTCTAAGAGTTTACTCCAAAATTCTTCTTTCTAGACCTGTTTCTTAGGAAATATTATAAGACAGATTCTGTTGTTTCACTCACCCATGACATCGGATTCCCTCTCTATCCTTAAGAGAACTGTCAGGACATAACCATTAAATTTACCTAAGTATTCTTTTATTATTGGCTTTGAAGTCTCTGTAAAATGGTGCTAAATTATATATTAGCCTATATTCCCATTTATTTTTTATGAACTTTCCTATTCTCAACATGGGTTATTTTTCCATGTTATAAATAAAATATGCCACATTTTTTCCTACTAACTTTTGGACACTAGATAATCAAACTAAAAATGTTTCTCTTCCTTAGCACATATTCATTTTAGGTAACTAATAGACGTATCATTAAATGATCTGTAAAATTCCTGTGAGTTTTTATTGACTATCAATTTAATCTTTCCATTCTCCCTAAATAATGCCCACATAATATTTTGATTTCAAGTTCTATAATTAACTACATGAGTAGCTTCCTCTTTCTCATCAAAAGTGAAATTTAATTTTTATGATCACTGTGGATGATTTAAGCTAAAAAAGAAAGAAAAAATAAATTTCTTAACTAATGAATATAAATGATTTTTAAGGCCATGTTGCATCTAACAATCACGAAATAAAAACGGATACTAGCAAGGGAATAACCGACCTAGCATTGAGATAAGGGCTAGAAATTCCTCACCCATAGTTCATTTTGTATATGTTTGTTGGTGAGGAAGGTTTTATATTGGAATAGGTTACAATCGGACCTGGGATGATTTTCTTTTCATTAAAAAAAAAATGTAAACTGTCTAGGTTTCTCATTTTCCCTGTATGTCTGCCAAAATGAAAGGAGATGGATAGTCAAGAATAGTCAGTCCTTAGTGAACATTATGTTTTTATGAAGCTCGGGGTAAGGTAGCTGGTTATTTTGCTCCACACTTTTGAATATTCTGTTTTAACCAAATCTATTATATAACAAAATGGCACAGCTTGGGCCATTACCCAGCTGCATTTCATAATCTATTCAAGTGCAATCCTTAATTTGGTGAATGAAAGAGTTGGTTAGTCACGAACATTTATCAACTATTGTACTTGATGGCCTTCAGAGCACTATGCCAGGAGCTATAGAAAGTTGCAAAGAAAATGAAAGATTGGTCTATGGCCTTAGCTTAGAAATTAATTGGAAAGACGCTGCAGAGACATTGAAATACCAGGGCTGTTTGGAAAGTATGCAGCCATGTAATATGAAAAATAGAGACATTTATTGAATAAGATACAAGATAGAAGAAACTTGTACATAGGACAATGACACCTCAGTCCATTTAGTAGGCGCCTTGGGACCTCACACAGTTCTCCCAGAGTCTCTAACCTAACCTGTACACATGTTCAACAGTCTCAGGTGTTCTGCTTGTTATAGGTCTTCCAGAATGTGGATCACTTTCAACAGATTCTTGACCATTTTGAAGTGTTTGTGCCACACTTTTATTTGCACTGTACTCATTGCATCGTCTCCAAAAGCCTTCTGAATCATCCGAATAGTTTCTGCAAGCTTAACACAAAATTTGACGCAGATTTGTTGCTGTACTTGCTCAGTCATTTTGAATGTGATGGCCACACAGTACACATGCTCACTCAGTGGTGTCTAGCACCCCACTGACTAGTACAGTGAAGGTGTCATTGTTCACATATGTACATTTCCAGTCCCACTCTCCTTGGCTGCCAGGTTACATCGATGGCAGGCAAACTATTTTCATTATATTAACAATGGCTGGATACTTTCCAGATGGCCCTTGGGTATAACAGAATCCATTAGACAGTTTACCTCTAGGGAAGAGTCTTTGCCTTCTCACCTGTCCATGTGCAGCACCTAGGCCTGTGTCTGGTACAGAGTAAACATCTAATAAATTGTTCAGTGAATTAACCACCTCATTATTATGCATTGACTTTTTTTGGTTGGGCCTGATTAATTGGATCGAGATAATCTATTTTTTTTTTTATTCCTTCAACCTTGAAGAAAAAAGAGACTAAAAATAATTAATTCATTTCAGGATCTTGGTAAAAAACTAAAATATCCAGAATATAATCTGAGGTCAATGCTCATTCAATTGAACCCATTCTTTCTCTATGCTTCTCCATCTGCATTTAAATTAGAGCTCTATGCTCAGAACTCCTACTTTAGATTATTCTGAGGCAATTCAAAATTCTTAAAACTAATTTTAACTCAGCTTATTTCATAAGGCAGAAAATAGGAAACATATTTTTAAAGAGTGCTAACAACCAGAGTTAAAGCAAAAAAAATTTGTTTCCCTATCAGTTAACTATTAATAGAATAACACCACCTGATTTTCTGAACATTCAGAGTCATCAAAATTTTCTAGCATGTTGCAAATCTGCATATCTTGGGTTCAGTAAAACTTATTATGCCATGAGTTAAGGAAGTTGAAGTAGCAAGTTAACAATTCTAGGATTACTCACCTAGTTGCTCTTGGTACTTAAAGTGAGGTCCAAGGACCAGCAGTCTGGCCATCTCCCGAGAGCTTGTTAGAAATGCAGCATCTGGCTGGGCACAATGGCTCATGCCTATAGTCCCAACACTTTGGGAGGCCAAGGCTGGAGGATTGCTTGAGCCCAGGAGTCTGAGACCAGCCCAGGCAACATAATGAGACTCCATCTCTACAAAAAATGAAAAATTAGCCAAGTGTGGTGACACATACCTGTAGTCCCAGCTACTCAAGAGACTGAGGTGGGGAGGATTGCTTTAGCCTAGGGGTTCAAGGCTGCAATGAGCTGTTATCACCCCATTGTACTCCAGCCTGGGCAAGAGAGCAAGACCCTATCTCTTAAAGAAAGAAAAGAAAAGAAACACAGACTCTCAGGACTCCCCAGACCTACAGAATCAAAATCTGCATTATAACAATATCTGTTGAGTCTGTGCACAACAATGTTTGAGAACCACTGCTGTGGGTGTTTTTCAAAGCTTTTAAATTATGACCTTAATAGGAACTATTAGGAACTAATAGGAACTTCCTGTTCATCAAGTAAGAATGTGTATGTGTGTATATATATATTTGAAACAAAAATTTTCTATAAGTGATATTCTGTTATTTTGTATTTTCTTCCAATTTTGCTTTTTTAAAATTATATACTAGTTATATAGTATATATTAAACTTATATACTGACCCACTGGATTGATTTCACAATCTTCTGTAATGGGTCAACAGACCCGTATTTGAAAAATTACTACTCTAGTAAAAGGAAAATCACTGACGAAATCTGCAGATGCAAGAGAGGTAGTCTGGGAGTGGAGACCACTTAGAAGACCGTTTAGGCAGTTTAGGTTAAAACTAACTCAGACTTGAGAATCTCTTGAAGAGCTTGTTAAAACAAAGGATGAAGCCTAAAAATTTACATTTTTAACAAATTCCCAGGTGATACTAGTGCAGCTGGTCATGGGGCCACACTTTGAGAACCACTGGTCTATGTTAGTAATGATGGCCACACTTTGAGAACCACTGGTCTATGTTAGTAAACGAGTGGATTCCATAGATATTTAGAGGTAAAAATCTACAGAAATTGGTGGTTAGTCACTAGGCAACTGGAATATGTACAGCTGCTTAGAGGAGGTCAGTATTGGAGAGCAAATTCAACTTCAGAGTAGACATTGTCAAGGGAGAAAGTCATAATCATGACATGTTTTATGGGGCTGTTTACCTTGGTCAAAGGATGAAAAATGGGTCTTTAAAAAAGAATTCCCTTTGTGTTTCTAAAAAGTCTGTTATTTGTTTTTTTTTTTTTTTTTTTTTTTAAACAGTCTCTCTCACTCTGTTGCCTGGGCTAGAATGCCATGGCATCAGCCTAGCTCATAGCAACCTCAAACTCCTGGGCTCAAGCAATCCTTCTGCCTCAACCTCCCAAGTAGCTGGGACTACAGGCATACGCCACCATGCCTGGCTGATTTTTTCTATATATATTTTAGTTGGCCAATTAATTTCTTCCTATTTTTTAGTAGAGACAGGGTCTTGCTCTTGCTCAGGTTTTGAACTCCTGACCTCAAGTGATCAGCCCGCCTAGGTCTGCCAGAGTGCTAGGATTATAGGCGTGAGCCACCAGGCCCGGCCTTGTTTGGGGTTTTGTTTTTTGAATAATAATTAGAATAACTTCTCTTGTATTAGAATACCTTTAGGCTTAACTGGGAGGGTTGAAAGGCATATTGATATAACTGGCTTATACCCTTTATAGCACCTTCTTTTGCCTATGTCACAATGTCTTTCTTCCCTGTTAACAGAAAGACTCAAATGAGGGGTAAGATTACACACTGAATCATGTGTACTCATGGCTTTTGTAGTGTACATTTTGCAGTCATACTTCAGGGAAACATGTGACATTTATTATGCTTAAATGTACAAAGTGCTTATCAGCTATTATAGGGGTTATAATAATGAGCTGAGATACCACCTCTTCAGGTTACTTACAGGAGAATATAAAGTTATATAAGGCAGTTCAATTTAAACTTTGAGATACATAGTATGCAGATTCAAAGTAAATCACATCTAATGAAGTTGTCTAGAAAGGCCTTGTCAATGAAATGGTGCTTAAGTAAATTGCTTTTTAAGTTTTAATGCTACTTCAGTGTATACAGTGTATACAAATGAATAAAAATATTAATACATAAATACCGTATGTTTTTATACACCCCAAGATTTTTAAAAATATGACAAAACTGCCAATAATTTACAGCATAAATATGATAGGTAGTGATATGTGGCTGAAATAAAATCCTTGCTTACAATGTAAATTTGTATAGGTTAGTGTTTTAAAGTGAAGGCTTGGAGCCAAACTGCTTACATTTGAATTCCAGCTTTGCTACTTCCATTCTATGTGCCTCTGGACAAGTTCCTAGAAGTGACAGTCTAGGAAGTCACTTCTAGGAAGACATAGCTTTGAAAATGAAAAAAAGTTCTGAGTAACTTTGCCCATGCTCCTCACCCTTGGAGTTTGCTCTGAAAGAGTTTGTTTTTTAAAAATTTGGACTCATGAAAATAAATTGTTGAATTACGCTGTTCTTACTATCCTTTCTTGCTGTTTTGACAGGTAAATGGCCAAGACCTAAAGAACCTGCTGCACCAGGATGCTGTAGACCTCTTTCGTAATGCAGGCTATGCTGTGTCCCTGAGAGTACAACACAGAGTAGGTGTCACTTATAGCCAGAGACGTGGCTTCGGGCTTTTGCTCCATTCTTGTGAATAACCTAGGGATGTAATCTTCAGTGTTGTTTTTTGTTGTTGTTTTACTGTCACTCATTTGAAGAGCTTGTCTGACACAGGAAGGGGTCCTCTGGTACTTCTGCTTATCATTAAGGAAATGCAACCCAGGTCCTAGCTTCAAAGTAATATGCCTTAAAGATAAAGCTTGAAAACCAAATTAAAATAGATGATGAAAAAAATAGAGTCCATTTTACTTTTTGTAGGAAAGAAACCATGTCTACCCTTGAGATCTTATTTATAAAACCAATTTATAGTCCAGCCTGTGGCTCACACCTGTAATCCCAGCACTTTGGGAAGCCAAGAAAGGAGGATCACTTGAGGCCAGGAGTTCCATACCAGCCTGGGCAACATAGGCAGACCCTATCCCTACAAAAAATTTAAAAACTAGCCAGGTGTAGTGACTCGCACCTGTAGTCCTAGCTACTCAGGAGGCTGAGATGGGAGGATCACTTGAGCCCAAGAGTTCAGGATTACTGTGAGTGGTGATTGGGCCGCTGCCTGGGTGATGGAGCAAGATCCTATCTCTAAAAAATAATAATTGATAAAATGAAACTCCAACTACAAAGACGGTGAGTTTTCTGGTACCTACTATATGTTTTTTCCTATCACTGCCATGAACCATTCACTTATTAAGTGGGTGACCCTCTTGACCAAAGCCCTAGTGTTCAAAGGAGGGGTCCCAGAAAAAAGAAATGGCATTCAGAATTCAGTCAAGGCGGCACTTGTCCCTATCTCTACTTCTTATTTTCTTGTGTTTTATAATTTGGATGATGTGAAGGGAAGCCTGAGTAGACATAATTCTTCCTATATCACTGAGGATTTCTGAGTGTATTCACAAGACAGGTTCAGTATGCCTTTAAGTTGCTCCTTCTGAAATTGGTGCATGGTTTTTCTTACTCAGCAGCTGAGTAAGGCTTCACAAGCTGAAGAAGATAGAGAGGACTCCTAAAAAAGTAGAGAAGGCAAAACATGAAAGATGTCTGAGAAAACAACCAGGGTTGCAAGCAGAATCTGGGTGTAATGGATTAGGAAACAGGTCAGTAAGACACAGTATTGGTCATCAGCTGCTTCTACCTTGGCTCTTCTGTGTTTCCAAAGCATGGGAGAACTATGCATTAGATAAAGACAAGTAAATATAGACACACACTTCAGATATGATTACAGTTCTTTTTGAAGGTATGTGGGAAGTGATTTCCAATGTTCATTTTTTAGGAAACATCCATAAATCATTCCTAATAAAACAGACCCTTCTGCTCAGGGAATTGGCCTAGCCCTAAAAACCATGTCTTCCTGTTGACCATGCCCTCTCAGGATATCTCTTCAGCAAATAAAAGATGTAGAGGTAAAATAAGGGGCATAATGGTAGTTCGTCTTCCCTTTCAGATTGAAGGGTCAGAGTTTTATGGATTGTTATGAGGAGGTTAAATCTAACTAGAACAAGATGGTACCATAATTATTACAAGTTAGCTATTAAAAGTTGGTATTAAGAAGAGCCACCCTGAAAAAAATGACTGAAATGAAGACCATCCAACCTCAAAAAGGAAGCACTTAGGCAATAGAAAATTATAACCACTAGGATATAATTTATTTTTACTTATTTACCTCAGAGTTTTGGTTTTTTTAACCTCTGTTCCATATAGGTTTCACCTTTATCTCTGTCTAGTATTACAAACTAGGAGATGAAGGACAAGACCCCATTTTAGGAGAGAGTAGGTACCATCTGGGAATTGGAAAGCATATTCAAGTGATGGCATTACAGCTATGTTGACATTGCCCAGATCTGCTCTATTACATTTTGATCGCTGATAATCTTTCTAAGTATGCATTTTCAGAAGGATCCTCCTCCCCACCCCAGCAGTAGGTTTAATTTCAGATCTTCTTTTTCCTGATACACAGATAGCAAGGTGGAGGCAATACAGAAAGAAGTTATCTGACCTGACTGCAATGGTTCCTTTAGGTCAGTAGCAGTCCAAGGTTAAACACCTCCCCATCAGACCTACTTTCTTTCCAAAAATTCTGTGACACAGATGCATCAGCTCAGGACAAAGAGAGGGAATCCTTCTGCTAGATGGTGCTTGGGGATTACAGCTTTGGGTGGTCAACAGACTATAGACCCAGGTAATATGTCAACCTGGACATTTTAGTTGTGGTTCAACACACAGTATCACTAGAATTAACATTTTTCTTTCCCTTCCAGTTACAGGTGCAGAATGGACCTATAGGACATCGAGGTGAAGGGGACCCGAGTGGTATTCCCATATTTATGGTGCTGGTGCCAGTGTTTGCCCTCACCATGGTAGCAGCCTGGGCCTTCATGAGATACCGGCAATAACTCTGAAGAACTTGCTGTCTTTCAGTGTTCCCAATGAAGATACATTTCTCCTCCCCTCCTCCCCTGCCATTCTCCCATATCTTTTCCTCTCTGCATAGCCAACACATGATTTTAAATGACTGCTACCAACCCTGAACTTTGTTGTTCAAAATCTTCAAATCTTCATATTCTATTGGAAAAGTAAAGGTATTGTTTAAAGGAAAGCTGAAGAAAAAGCTTGCTTAGAACAAATGAGGAGTTACATATTTTACTAAGACTTTCAATAGAAATTCAGCTACTACCCAAAGAGGGAAAGTTCCAGTCTTCCTGTTACCATGGTGATACCCTTTTTTTTAGTGGATATACCTTAAAGGCCAGCTGTGTGATATTAGAGGAAGAGAGGATTTTTCTTTTTAATAATCTTTCTTGGAAAGTTTTTGTGGCCTTTATTTAATTTCTAACTACATACCTAGTGCCTATATCAGAAAAAGGAGAATGAGAAGAGCATTTTTACTTTTTTTTAAAAAGCAAATACATACATACACACATACATGGATGATGATAGTATAATAGTGATGCCTATGGAGAAGTAAAGAGGTAAGAAAACTACTCAGTGAAGATACTTGTGGGAGCATGTATAGTAGGAATGAGGGAGTGAGCCTTAAAAGAGGACATTCAATCTGGGTCATTTAAAAAATAATAAAGTGACTCATTAAAAATTAGAAAAACGGCATTTCTTCTCATAATAGCAATGGTGAGGTAAGTTGCCATAATCCAGCTCTGCTCGTGTCAATCTATCAAAAACCTTTGAGGGGTAAAGGTAAATTTTACCAGTATCAGGGCTGTGCTAGTGACTCTTTTGGTACCTCACAGTCCTGTTAAAGAATCAGCTGGAACAATTGTCAGGGCTATGGTGATGGGGCCAAAATAACCCAGTGAGAAAATTCCAAAAGAACAAAAGATAGTACCTCCAAGGTAGCACCTGAACCCTCAGGCTATCAACCAGTCTTCTTGGTTTCTAGTAACAGGCAAAGCTGAGAGAAGGAACCGCCTCTCTGGTAGGATGGGCATGAACTCAGCTCTGCTTCTGATTTAGTTAAAATGAGAGGGCCTGGATTGGTAGTTTTTGAAGGTGCTAAACACTGGTTATAGCTTTTAATTAATAAGTTGTTTTGCATGAAAAGGGAGGAAAAATGTTTTGTTTGCTTTAGGGGAGAGGAAAATTTGGTGGGTGCTTCATGGGGCCTAGAAGGAGGATATGGATGAATGGATACTAGGGAATACCAGCAACATTGGTGAGGCGGGAAGTATCTTGTTCATGTTCATTCATTTAAGGTTGGTTTTAAGCACTAAGGATAGCTGAACCAAGAGAATTTTGTAGCTTTAAGAAAGTCATTTTCGTTCTCTAAATATACTGGGCATACGTAGGCCTTATATAATTTTGACAGCAAGATTATGAGGACTTTCCATCAGGCAATGAATTCTATTCAATTTTTAGCATGGTTGCTCTAGTAACTAAACAAATATTGATTGGACATCAACTTTGTCAAAACATTGTACAAACAAGTAAAATTTATATCATCCATCCCAAAGGGCTTTTCGGTTCCAATCAGAAGAGAATGCTTAAAAAGGAATTAGCCACACAAGCAGGACAATGTAAGTTGGTGTCAAGTTTACATTGCAGAAACCAAAAGAGAAAAAAATTTCTGAGAATTGGGGCATTTGAGAAAGTTCCATGGAGGAAGGAAACAAGTTAAGGACCCTTGAGAAGCTTCAGAGAATTCATAGTTCAGAGAATTCATAAATAGGTGAAAAGTTAAAAGTATTGTTAGATTAATAATTGGAAAAAAAATAATAAAAGAAATGGTACCATGCAGAACACATTGTAGTAACAAAGAAAATATGCAGCCAACCATCATATTTTTTTAGGTATTCAGAAGAAGAAAGCTTTCACATAATGGCATCAGACCAGATTGGAAAGAGAAGGCTTTTAAAAATAAAAAGTCCAGTAAGACCAGGCTGCCTCTTGGTCAACTGTTGGTATCTGGAGAAACTTGCTTTAAACAATCCTGGCCTAACTCTTCTGCCTTTTAACCTGAACTGTTCAGTACCTTTGAGACTCACTTAGACAGCTGGACTCATGGTAGGTTCCACGGAAAAACACTGACAGTATTCCAGTTCTCAGTCCAACCAGCCACACTATGGAGGCACAGCCTCTAGGGCCTGCTCTGTGGCTCAAGGTGCAGGCGCTTCCATGGTGCGCGTGCTTACCTCCTAGGATTCTTCTCAGGGTTTGGACATTAACTCCTGAGAGGACTTTGAGACATTCAAAGTGAAACAAATGGCAAGCAGGAAAGAAAAGCTCTTTAGTTTTTGTTTGTAGGTATATGTAAATAAAAAAAAACACTAACCCTATCCCTTTGTTGGTAGAAGTTTTGCTTTGGTTGAGAATAGGGGCTCTGATGCACTTTAATAATTTAGATTGTCTCAGAAATCAAATAGCATTTAAAGATCAATATATTAAAGTTTTAGGCAGGTACACTAATTATATTCTTCTGATTTTTATAGAAAACAAATTATCATAGATATAGTATTAGAATCCATTATAGGTTGTCAAAAAATTTATGTTCTTTATAGATTGAATCTAATATTCCTGCCACTTTATAGATTGTAATAATGTTTCTACTACCTAAATATTATGTTCAAAGTTTTGAAAATTGAAGAAAGGTATTTTTAAAACCCTATACTTTAAAACATTTCTCTATATTTTTTATTCTGTATTGTATATAATTCCAATAAGATATTGTTTGCTTTGATTGTCTCTATTTTCTTTTCCTGCAAAGTTTTAACTTCTGTGTTATTGATTTAACTTAATTGTGTCATCTAGCCATGTATAATGGAAAAAAGAAGTTAATATTTGTTACTGTGTTCTATGTCAGGGACTGTACCAAACCTGAATTGGTACACTATTTGCTCATGCCTCACAACTCTGAGATTTAAGTATTTTTAGAAAGAGACTAAAGATGAGAGAATAAATTACTTCTTGTGATTACATAGGTGGTAATAATAGAATCAGGACTTAAACTCAGGACTTCTGGTGCCGGGATCAATGGTACTTCTTCACTGGTAGTGGTTCTCAAAGCAAGATCTCTGGACAAAAGCAGCAGCATTACTGGGAACTTGTTAGAAAAGCAAGTTATTGAACTTCATCCCAGAAACTCTTGAGCATGGCACCCAGAAATCTGTGTTTTAATAATCCCCCCAAGTGACTCTCATTCATGCTAAAGTTTAAGATTCACTGCTCTGTACCAATAATTAATTGTCCCTCTTTCTCAGATTAGAATCACCCAGAGAGCTTGGAAAAGTCCTTATGCCCAGGCTGCACCCCAAACCAATTAAGTAGGAATCTCGGGGGATGGGACTGAGGCAGCAGTAAAGTTAAGTTCATCAAGTGTTTCCAGTGTGCAACCTTAGTTGAAAACATTCTATGGCATTTAAACCTAGCCACTATATTAAATTATTAAGTTATAAACAGACATTGCTCCAGCCAAAATGAAAAACTTCACTTGGGCCTTTTCAGAGCCCAGCTCTCTGAGTTTCTGTCCTAAGTAAGAAGTGGAACATTCTTTCACTCCTGATTTGCTAAGTACTGATGAGCCTACAGCAAAATGTATGATTAGTGAATGTTTCAGTTTGTACATCTGTAAAATTAGAATCAAGTCATAGAACATTGACACTACTAAGGAACCAGAAAGATTCTAGAATGAATTTGTCTTAGAGATGAGAAAATCAAGGCTTAGAGAGGTGAGTTAACTATGAAAAGACTAGTCTGTTGCAGAGGTGAACTTTCTGTCTCATATTTAGGTCTTGAATGTATTTACTACATAAACACATACAAAACTATCCTTTTTATCTCAGTCCACTTCCATCTTCTCTCTTTGGGCCTGAATAAAGACCAGAAAACTGATAGACTGCTAAAACGTATTGCAAGCATCATTACTGGAAGATTCCACAGAACAATCTGAGAAAGATAAATGTAATCCAATCAGATGAGTTCTGGGACTAATTCTAATAGTTTTAAACTAGGGACATATGTTTTTTGACAGTAAATAAGTAATTTTAAAAATATATTTAAAGAAGTGAAGGAACATAAGGAACTATAAGGCTGTCAAGTATATGGGGAAGTAGAGTTCATGTAGTTTCATGTAGAGCCAAAGATTTTATTCTAATCAATTTTGGTGGAAATTTATCTTTGAACAGAGGATTTTTTTCTCTTCGTTTAGCAAATAGCTGAAGATTGCTTACTGTGTGCTAGGTACTAAAGATACAAAGATAAATAAGATACACTCTAAACTGAAATAGCTCAGCATATTAGAGTGGGGGGATCTTTGTGGGTGCTCTTGATGTTAAAAGTATTTTTCTAACATTACCTAGAAGATTCAGTTATAAAGCTCTCTACCTCTTACCTATAATAGGTTTAGGTTGGTTGCTATCCTGGGTTAAGCCCTTTTAACTGTAAATCTTTACATCCAAAAGGGCAATTATGATCAAAAGGAAGACAGTATTAAGGAATTCTACTCTGATCAGAACCAGATTCTTAACTGCCATAGACTTTCATGTGATGTTGATATTTATGTATAGAATACAAAGCACTTGATCTGCTTACCTGAAGCACTTAATGATACTGTATAAAAACCTATATTATAAGAAGGCATTGCTGCTTCTAAGGAATCAAGTTATAGCAAATACTAGGTCTTGTTTCTAAAAGTTTTCCACAATGTTCATGTTCTTTTTCTTTTTGCAGGGGGAAAGGAAGGGTAGAGGGATGTATGTTTTCTAAATGCAAGTCAATTATCAACCAACAGTCATTTACAAAACAACTTCGTATTTGCTGTAATCATTAAATTTATTGACTAATCACAGGAAAATGGGATGATCCTTTTTCCTAGTGTGTAGATTTTCAAGTGGAGACACAGAATTGAATCCCATTTTAATCTTGTATCTACAATGCTGATTGAATATGAAATTTCTACTGGATACATGTGCATTTTACCTCCAGGCTATGTTCTTCTAAAATTATTTTCCTTATGAAACTTACCTTGTTTTGCTGCCTTTCTACTTTGATTCTAATGTCACATTACATCTGTGGATGTAAACAGCAGTCAGTTTCTCAGTACTAATAGAGCCCTATGAAGAGCAACTTGGAAGACATGTGGACATAAAACACTAGAGAATATAACTACAGATTAAATATGTTAATGAGCCATCAAAATCTATGATGATCTCTTTTAAGCTTTGCTATTTGATACCAGATAACAGCAAATGAAATAATAGTGTACCTAACTGTGCCTAGCCAGTATTGGCATTCAATAAAAACTTGTTGAATTTGTCATTGAATCTTTACAATCTTTTTTTCACCTTGCTTTGGAAACTGTTGGCTAAATTATTTTTCTGCTAACTTCTTAGAGCAACATCTCTGACAGAACAAAGAAAAGAGGAAAGAAATCTAAATGATCAATTTGAGGCTTGGCTTTGACATAGGAGATAAGGAACTGGTTATTGCAAATGATAATACACTAACAATTATTGAGTTCTTACCAACATTCCAGCTATTGTTCTAAGCCCTTTGCATGTATTCATTTAAGCCTCAAAACAACTGTAAAATAACTGCTGTTATTCCCATTTTACAGATGAGGTAAGTAGGGCATCAAAAGGTTAAGTAAATTGCCCAGGTTGTATAGCTATTAAGTGCTAGAACTGGGATTTAAACCCAAGCAGTCTAGCTTCAGAACCTACACAAATAACCGTAACAACACTGTACTATCTTCTGCTTTTCATGGCATCAGGAACTGCATTGGGCCATCCTTTTGCATAATTAATATCAAATGTTCACAGTAGTGCAAAGCAGTATCAATATTCCCATTTTTATACATGAGGTAACTCAATGCTTAAGTTTATAACTTGCTCAAGATACATAGCTAGTCAGTGCAAGACCTGGGAATTTACTTCAAGCCAATGAGAAGTCCACTGCTCTTCCACCATTCTAGAAAATAAAGTTTATTATATTCAATTTGATTCAAAAATACTGTCACAACCTTCCGTTATGGATAATAGGAAATTACACTAGGTTAAATGTTCTATAACAATAGCAGTAGCAGTACCATTCTGTCCTTATATAATGTTTGAAAGCAATTGCTGACATTTGTTATCTTACTTGTATCCCTTCCATCCCCCAAAGCCTTATACATAGAAGGCAGAAATGGGTTTGTGCCACAGGATAAATAAGGACTTGTCAGAACTAAATATTGACCTTTAGCCTAAGTTAGTTTGCATATAGCTGACTTCAATATGAAGAGAAAAGGCAGTTTGCACTGGTCATTGTTGCTCTGTTACACAGTTTACACAAAGTTCAGACCTGAAGTCAAGTTGCTAGTCAATGACTGTAATGTGTATAGAATGGCCTTTTTCTTCCTTGATGGGCAAAGTTGTGTCAGTTATCAATTACATAGTCAATTACCCACAGCAAAACTAAGTGGCTTAAAACATATATGAATATATTAACATATATTAAACATAATATATTAAATAGAAGATTCTGCAGGATGACTAAAGGCTTTTTCTGCTGATATCACCTGGGATCACTCACGCAGCTACAGTCATCTGATGGCTAAACAGGGTTAGGTTGTCCAAGATGGTTTCTCTCACATGTCTGGCAGTTAGTGCTGGCTGTTGCTAGGGTATCTTGGTTCTCCCTGTGGCCTCTCATCTTCCAGTATACTAGATTGGGCTTCATCACAGCACTGGGGTCCTTACAGAAGTATTCCAAAAAGGCAAGTCCCAGTGTGAATACACTTACCACGGCTTTTCATCTGTCACATTTGCTAATGTCTTATTGGCCAGAGCTAGTCATGGCCGAGCCCAGAGTCATTATTAAAGAGGACTTCAACTCCACACCTTGAAGGGAGTAATGCAAAGATTTTGTGGACATTTTTTAATCTACCACAGAAAGAAAACAGATTTAAAACAGCAAAAACCAATGGTTAACAAAGTTTTTCTTAAAGGGCCAGATAGTAAATATTTTAGGCTTGCAGGTCTTAGGTCTGTAGTATGAAAGCAACAATAGACAATGTATAAGCAAAAGAGTATAACTGTATTCCAATAAAACTTTATTTACAAAAACAGGAGGCCCTGCCAGACTTACAGATTGAGCATCACTGGTAAAGACTATTGTATGTTGAGATGTACATTTAGGAGTAAAAATGAGAGGAGAGAGCTCCCAAATGTGGACCCATTTGAGTCCCAAATTGAAAAGTATTGACATATTTTCTAGGAATGGCTCTTTTAAAAAAATCTGTTCTCCAAGAAAGAGAATCCAGGGAAAGTCCAACAAAAGTTTCCCCTGGTGTAATTTTGGAAATGAGTTGAACAGTGACTTGTGCATTGTCAGACCTGACTGAGCACCCGTCATGGCCAGGACTCTATCCACAATTCAAGGATTCACATAAAAATACTAGCTATATTGAATACTCACTTTATAGAAGTTATTTTATTTAATGTTTAAAATAAGCCTAATAGATCAAAATTATTTCCCCCATTTTAAACATGGAAAAATAGAACATTAGAGATGTGAAGTTACTGTCCCAGCTAATACTAGGTTTTTAAGATAGTCAAGATTTTAACCAGAACTTTTTCTGTGCTCCTTCTATACCACCACATTACCTTTGCCTTTTGGATTTAAGAGGAAAATGATGTAGAAGAATAACTTATTCACAAGGAAATTATTTGGTAATATTTATTAAAAGGTATTTATTCAGGTACAGATAGGAGATAGGGAATGAATAAGTATTGGTAGTTTTCTCTTACCCGTTGTAAAATAATGTGTAGTAATAGAAAATTTGAGGTATAGTAAGGTCAAGGGAGATGATTGCCATTGATTGAAAAGACAATTTGTTAATCACAGTTCCCAAGAGAAGGGGGCATGCCACGCCACAGTGAGCCCTACAGGGAAGCACTGGGGTTCGGCAGGAGGCAGAGGCAGGAGGAGGAATTGTAGACAAGAGACGTTATTGTGGTTTTCATGGGAGGGAACAAGTGAGGCAGGGTAAGCAAGTTTAGAATTGGCTAGTTTGAATATATTCATTGGTCTCTGTGGCATAGGGGCTATCCCTAGTTCTCTGGTACCTGGCCCTGAATGATTAGGGCAAGCAGATAATGGCCTGAAGTATGAAAGCTCGAAAAAGGAGATGGGTTGGGATATGGGCTTTGCATTGGTTGGTTGTATTTGAAAAGTGCACTCCAAGAATTGGCTAACCCTGGGAGAAGCAGTCCCTCCAAGGTCAGCAAGGCCCCACATGTCAATGCATCAGAATATAAAAAACAAAAGATATGACTAATACACTGCCACTACTACTGTAGAAGATTCTACGTCCCTCTAATTTCTGCCTTTCCTTCCAAATGGCTGAGAAAATAGCCAAAAATAAGGAAGGAAGCAAAACAACAAAAATGTAAAAACCCAAGCAACCAAGACAGGTGTTAGCAAATCCATGCATCAAAAGTTCTTAATTTGGTGCTCTACGGGAGCCGGGATGGAGCCGCTATGGGAACATGGAGGGAAAGAGCCGGAGGGATGTTTCAAGGAAATCAAAACCCAGCTGTCCTTACGGAGTGCAACTGGATGGATCTTAATGTAAGTTCTCCCAGCGTCTGACCCCGAGGCAAGTATTCAACTGCAAGTAGTTTATTTAAGAGATGACCTCAAGGGAGTAGAGAGGCAAGAGACAGGGTCTCACCCAGTTGCCCAGGCTGAAGTGCAGTGGCCTGATCATAGTTCACTGTGACCACAAACTCCTTGGCTCAAGCGATCCTCCTGCTCCCCAACGTGCTGGGATTACAGTTCCGAAGGCCAGAAGTTCAAAATCAGTATCCCTGGGCTAAAATCAAGGTGTTGCTGCTCAAGGCCAAGCTCCCTGTGGACACTCTTGGGCAGAATCCATTCCTGCCTCTTGCAAGTTCTGCTGGCTGCTGGCATTTCTTGGCTTGTGGCCGCATCACTCCAATCTCCATCTCCATGATTTCATGGCTTCCTCTTCTTCTGTCTGTGTAATCTCCCTCTGTCTCTGTCTCTATTTATTACTTTTAATTGACAGGTAATAATTGCACATATTTACAAGGTGCAGTGTGGTATTTCAATACATATATACAATGTGTAATGCTCAAATCAGGTAATTAACATATCCATTACCTCAAACATGTATCATTTCTTTGCATTAGGAGCATTCAAAATCTGCTCTTCTAGCTATTTGGAAATATACAATAAATTGTTTATTATAGTCACACTATACTGCTATACACTAGAACTTATTCTTCCGATCTAGCTGTACTTTTGTATTCCTTAATCAACCTCTAGCTATCTCCTCAGTCTCTGGTAACCACTATTCTACTCTGTACTTATACGAGATCAACTTTTTAGACTTTCACATATGAATGAGAGCATGTGGTGTTTATCTTTCTGTGCCTGGCTTATTTCACTTAATATAAGGTTGTCTATGCTCATCCATGTTGCTGCAAATGACCAAATTTCATTTTTATGACTAAATTGTATTCCGTTGCCTATGTATACCCGTTTCTCTCTTATAAGGGCATTTATAATGGCATTTAGCCCCACCCCAGGCAATCCAGGGTAAACTCCTCATCTCAAAATCCTTAATTTAATTACACCTGCAAAGATCTTTGTTCCAAATAAGGTAAGATTATCATTTCCAGGAATCAGGACACAGGTATCTTTTGAGGGTGATGGGTGCATTTTTCAGCCCACCACAGTGGAGAGAGCAAGGAGGAAGATCAGCCTCTCTCATTTAAAAGGCTTTTGGAACCGTGCTGCCCCCAAATCGTTTTTTGTGACACCAACTGCAGGGTTTTAGCTCCATGGAGGCACCGCCCATTCCCTCCCATGGTGGCCATGAGAATGTGTCACCCCCGTCTCTGCTGCAGGGAATGTGACAGACCTGGGGCTCTGAAGACATCATGGTGTAGGGGTGAGCTCGTGCTTCCCATGGGCAGCTCCAGCCAGTGACTGAGAAGAGTAGGGTGCCCAGGTGGGCCCATCATGGGGCTCCTCTGACAGGTGACAGACCTTGCCAAACCTGCCTTAGAACTGCCTGCAGACTAGGATGTGTCCCCCAATTTCCCTTCCTGCCTTCCTGCTCTCAGCTGGTCACAGGGGCTGGCCCTCCCTTGTAGTCCCCCAGCTCTCAAACCCCTCCCCTTCTCCTGGCTCCCTCTCCGTTTCTCTTGCAGACATTCCCCCTAATAAATTTCTTGCACGTCTAATCCTTTCCTGTCATCTGCTTCTTAGACAATCTAGACTAACACATGTTACCTACTTAATACCTA